TTTTCCTTTTGCATACTCTGCTGTCATTAAGTACTTCTTTAACATCACCAGAGTTGGCAAAATCAAAACAGAGAAAGATATAATAATAGACAAACAAAGTTACTAATTATGAAATCTGTTCTCATATAAAATAATATTGAATATTTCACCAATATATTAAATAAAATATCACACAGTTGCTTAAATATATTGTCCATATATAAAAATACAGCCGTGGTTCATACTGCTATAATGTAGGATGTAGTACAAAGCATTGAAAAAGTGAGTGTTTCTAGGTATGTATTTGTCTATCTGTCTTGATGTTGACCAGTCAACTTGTATACCAGTCTACTTGTAAACCAGTCTACTTGTAAAGCAGTCTACTTCTAAAGCAGTCTACTTTTAAACCAGTCTACTTGCAAACTAGTCTACTTGTAAACCAGTCTTTCTACTTTACAATTTTTTCATATTTTAATCTGTCTATCTGCCTTTCTTTCAACCTGTCCATCTTTTAATCTGCCTCACTTTCAATCTGTCCATCTTTAAATCTGCCTATCTGCCTCTCTTTCAATATGCCCATCTTTCAATATGCCTATCTGCCTCTCTTTCAATATGTCCACCTTTTAATCTGCCTATCTGCCTCTCTTTCAATATGCCCATCTTTCAATCTGCCTATCTGCCTCTCTTTCAATATGTCAACCTTTCAATCTTCCTATCTGCCTCTCTTTCAATTTGTCCATCTCTCAACCTGACTATCAACCTCTCTCTCAAACAGCTCTCTTTCAAACCGTCCATATTTCAATCTGCCTATCTGCCTCTCTTTCAATCTGCCCATCTTTAAATCTGCCAATCTACCTCTCTTTCAATTTGTCCGTATTTCAAGTTGCCTATCTACTTCTTTTTCAACCTGTCCATCTTTCGATCTATCTGACCATCCGAATATCAATCATTTCACCTTTCAATCTGTCTCTAACTCTCTCTGTATATTTGTATATATGTATCTCTGTATAGATGTATCAGTATACATATATCTGTATATATGCCTAGCTGTATATCTTTCTATCAGTCTGTCCTTCAATCTGTCTACCTGTTCACCTGTCTACCTCTCTTTCTGTTTACCTGCTTTCCTATCAACCTAACCTAAGTCTACTTGTCTACTTGTTCATCTTGACTGCCCTTATACTCATCTACCTGTCTACCCATAATTCTATTTAAATATGAATCAATAATAACGATTTGCCAGGATCATTTCATAATCAGCATGTTTTCCTAATAATATCTTCCGAAACGTCGAGACAATAATTGGTAAATCATAGTTTCTGGCCAAAAACAATCCATTGGCCTATGATAAGATAAAAAATGTTATTAATCCCTGATAAAATCTGCATGATCTCCTTTTGAATCTTAATAATACAAAGTTGGTCAACAATTTGAACGCGTAATTGGACACATTCCTCGCGGAGACTCATGAGGTTTCAAGTCTGTACAAGTACGACAATAACCGCGAAAAAACCACTACAATCCTCTCGGTGTGAATATGTTATAATAATGATCTCATTAAAATAATTAGGCTGTTACAAAACAAATTTTCCTAAGCTATTTCCATATTAAATATGAGTAAGACGTATGTGCAGAGCGATCGTTAGTGATGCATTAATGCCAATTGAATAAAACCAATTTGTTAATCGTGATTTGAATTTTCGCGAAATGATTGCTGTGAACTTTCGTTTTAATTTATGAACGTGAGGAATTGATTTATATGGAATGTGTGTATTTGTTTCGTCAACTACGATTGAAATTTAATAAAAAAAATCCTGTGAATGTAATCGATACATAATCCATTCGTTATGAAAATATTCGAGGTTTTTGGTATCAAAATGTTTAACTGCTAGATTGAAAAGGATTACTAAGTTAACATGTACCACCGAAACAGCTCATAAAAAAGTTACTTCTGACTTCTGTTAAAGAAAAAAGCACCAAAGACCAGAACTGTTATTACGATCAAGTAGATTCATAGTAATCTTCACAAGTCTGAAGTTGAGATAAAATGATTGACATAATCTTTGTTAAATATGAATCACCATACATATTTTATTTATTACCTATCATCTTGAGTCTATGCAAGGTCGTTCAGTGGGTAATTGTGTATGTGTACCAATGAATGTTCCACATTGAGCGAAACCAATTTTCACTTTCTTCGGCCTACAATTTCTGAGCATTCCGCGGTACAGATCACGTACATTCCGCTTAAGGAAATATTATCGGCGACGGTTTACCTGTTAAGTTCTTTGAATGTTTCGCTTCCGCATGGGAAAATCATTAGCTGAGTTAATAGGCTGCTTAGCATACCTTTGTCCAGGCAGGTAAAAGGTATTGTTCACTTGATGTGCAATTAGTAAGAAACCAATGAGAGGATAAAAATCTAAAAACCAAAATTTTTTCATGTTTTGATAGTATTATGTACTATTTTTACTAAAAAAACTCCAGCTAATTTTTCATTGTACATAATTCTAAGTGATACCTAAAATTTTTTTAGTTTAATACATAGGCTCCCAAACTCTTTTGTAGCGTGTGAACCTTGAACATCTTCGTGGACCTATTAACGCGATATAAATTTTTTATAATCGTCTTTTATCTTTAGTATCTAGAAATGCAATAAGTGTCTGTCCAAGTGGTTACCTGTCTATAGGTATCAAAATGCCTACATGGCCACTTGTTTACTCTCTACTTGTCTACTTTTGCTGGACAACCTGGCTAAAATGTCTACTTGTCTACATGTCTACCTGTCTACATGTCCACCTGTCTACATGTCTACCTGTCTATTTGTCAGCCTGTCTACCCTTCTATCTGTCTATCTTCCTATTTGCCTACCTGTCCACCTATCCACTTGCTAACTTCCCGAAGGGTAGGTTATTGTAATGAGCCGAAAATCGAAATTGAAAATGTTTACATTTCTCGACGTTTTGAAGGTTTTTGAACATTTTGGCATATCTCAGAAAAAAATGATGTGTGTGTGTATGTATGTATGGATACAATTTTTCGTCCACGTTTTCGGGCGCACGGATCAATCGATTTGAATGGTTCAAAAAACGTTCGAGTCCTATTGATAGAGAGATGTGCTGATTAGTTTTTGGCAAAGGTAGGTCCAGCCGATTAGGAGATACGGATAGAGTTTCCTCAAAAACTGCTATTTTCTGCAATTTTTGTTAGGTATCTCCAAAATGACTGGACCTGTCTTTGCCAAAAAGACATCAGTACGTCTTCCCATCTAAATGAATCGAATGTTTTTTAATCATTCAAATCAAATGCTCGGTTCTCACAAAAACTGAATTTCTATTTTTGCACTTTTTGCTTCAAAACTCCTAAAATGCTGGCCCTGTCTTTACTAAAAACTAATTATCGCGTTTAAAATGATAATTGCAAAAATGTATCATCTAGTAATAAAAACATAAAATTTACTCCCATCTGTAGGCCAAAGAAAGTGAAATTGCTTTTTTTCTCAATCTGGAACATTCATTTTACCATAATTACCCACTGACCGACCTTGAGTAATCTCAAGAGAATTACACATAAAACGAATGTATTTAACGTTTATTTTAATTTATTATTTTTTCTTTTTCCTGTTAATAAATGGACAGAACTGTAACTTTCTTATGCAATTGCCAGAAACACGTACGTAACTCTGAGTACTGAACAAAAATGCGGTCCAAAACACATTTTCTTGTTCGGAATTTTCTCTTATTTATGTAATTATATTGACAACAAAGTTACGATGAAAGTTGTTTACGTTTTGTAAATTAATTGAGTGTAATGTATTTTATAATTGAAGCCAGAAAGTGTAAGAGAACCATGCTAAATTTAATATAGAAAATTATATAAGGAAAAAAACGTTCCTAAACAGGGCTATGAAGAAGGAGGTTGTCCTGCATTTTCTGAATTAGCTTAAAAAAATCAAATTAAAATATACTCGTATAATCTACGCTATTTCAAATAGTGATTGAAACTTTTTAACTGTTAATTTGGAGCTGCTATATGAAAACATATGTAGCAGTTTCCTCAACTTCCCAAAAACCAAGTACATATATAAGAAAAAAAAAAAATTCAGAAAAGAATTTAAAGTTTGATTTAAATTCTCTAAGGAAGATCAAAGCTTTGGTATTATAGTAAATATGACTAAAAAAATATACTACAAAAACCTTTCCATGGGTTGAAATTTAAAAAAGTAAATAAAGACAGATGCTGTAGATCAGCAAAAATCAAGATTCATAATATTAATAACAAATCTAGTTAAGTTATATATTATTAAATATATGAATTAGAAACTGCTGAATTTGACCCAGAATTACCATGTATAAAAATTGTGCGAACTACAAGAGCATTTAATCAACAAATCGTATGTGTTCACCTTCCGACAAGTTTATTACAAAATTATTCCATTTGCTTTATAGAATTAATAAATAACTACGTAAATTGATTCGATATTCTAAAAAAAACACAATTTGTTGAAACATATCTAGTATGTTACATTATGCAAGAACATAATGAAAAAAAACGTGTTAAACTTGAGTCATATACGGTGTTTGAGAGCATTTTTTTTGTCAATTTGTTTATTGGTAACTTTATTGCATATATGGAATAAACATGATTTGGCATATTTTACTTTAGAATTACTTATTTTATATAAGAAGATCGAATGCAAGATATTCAGGTAGCGATTGCATAAATTAAAATGTGTACACGGAACAAACGAGATAATAAACGAGTCAAATCAGTTTGTTTTGTAAATAATATAAAGTAAAATGAAAATGAATGAGTCAAGTCAAGTGATTTTAAACGTAATGTTATATAAAACAAAATAAATACAAATAGAGACCATGTCAGTAGTATAGACCATGATATAGTATAAAGGGGGCCCACAGATTGGAAACCACGATCGTTTTCAGAGTTTCGTAACGATTTACCTGAGACTAATTATCCCAGTAAACTAATTACTACAATAATGATAGAGAAAATTCACTAACCTTCCATTTCCGTGCCGGAAAAGAGCCAGAATCTCCTCAAATGTCTTGTTCTTGGTTTCTGGCACCTTTTTGTACGTAAAGATCCAGAAGATCGCCAGGAACACACTGAACGGAAGGAATGTGTAGTTCTCTAATGCTCCCTGGAAACAAGAAAACATAAATTTAATTTTGTTTATTATTACTCTTTTTATTATTATTCATTCGAATTGGCAATATCAGTATTATTTAATAATTTCCTCAAAGTAAAGATTGTTTTCGACAAAAAATCCATTTTCTGTTCAACATTTTTAGTAAAAATTCTTGAAAATTCAAGAACAGTTCGAAAAACACATTAATTCGGATTTGTTCTAATTATTATTTTTAAATAATATAAGCTCACAAAAAGTGATTTAATTATGAAATATCATAAAATTTTGATTTTATTTTATCATAGATCTATTATTGCTCATGTACAACCAATACTAAAAAACACATACTATGGTATCATATAAAATTCAATTACGTTTTAGTTAATCGGCATACACGACTTTCTATTCAAAGTGGCGTTCGCCCTGCGCTAATATTTGTATGGTCTAAATATAATTTTATTTTAGTGTTACTTTCAAGCTTGAGTAGTTTAATAATTAAATTAATTTGCATATGTGTATATATGCAATTAGGTGCACTGTAGCACAAATCCATTCCAGCTGATGTAATTTGTGCTTTGCAATAGTTTTTGCTCGATGTCACAGCTGGGTTAATTGCTCCACAATTATAAAACGCCCATTTGAGAATTATATGCATATAATATATATATATATATATATATATATATATATATTATATTATAATGAAAGTAAGTTCAAATATATGTTTCGAAAATTATCTCTGGCGACTGTTTGTAATTTATAATACCACTTACTAAAAGATTTATTTGCTATAATTGTTACAACTTGTGATATTTTTCTGCAACTTGGTCATTTATATAAATATCTTTTAAGATAGATAATATCTTGAAAAGGGTAAATAACAAAATTTTCCTTGTATTAGTAATACATATTTCAAATTATTCCTGACATTTTGAGAAAAACGTATTTTAAGTTTTTAATATAATGTACTAAATACACCATTTAATTTAATGTACTAAATACACCATGGTGTTCAAAGATGGTCATTATTAAAAAGGTCATGTGCATGAGGTATTATAATGAAAAAGAGAGCAGCTGGCATACAATAGCTCGCGGAGCGATGAAAAAAACGGTTTCAGAGGATCATACATATAGAGATATATTTATCTATAACATCGTCAAAAAAATAGATATTGAGATGATTTTTTTTTTAAATAATTCTTCTTTTTTTTAAAATAATAAAGGTTTTTAGCTTTCATAATATAAAAAAATCTCCAAATCGAAAAAAAATAAAAACTAAACAACCCCCTTAACTGAATTATTTCAAATAAGAAAAATGGCACAACCGTACTCGGTCTACCCTACAAAACGCAGTTTGCCATTAATCCTTCTCAATCAAAGCCAAATGCCACTTGCACCTAGTTCTTAGTCAGTATTACATATTTCACTATATAATAATTCAATTTTATGAACGTAAACGTAAATTCATTAAGATCTCAAAACTGTTTCCGCATTACTAAATAAATATTTAATCCATACATTAGAGTCCTGAACTCACGCACCGATATGTTCTTCTGACATAATACGACTTGATTGTATAATGTATTACAGAGGTTCAAGATATAATCGATAAATAATTTAATCGCAGTCTATTTGCGAATCGAACGTTTAGTTATCGATATTGTTGATTGATATTATCGGTTCTTTAATCTACGACTTGCTAAAGTCATTATTAGATTAAGCTATTTATTGATACCAGAAATATGTTAATAGGGAAATCAGATTGGCAGTAATAAAAATTGCTCACTAGTGCTAACTGAATTTTCTGGTCTATTTGAAGAAGATCCAGTGTATCAACTACTGACAAAAAGAACCTTAGACTTACTCTTCTAGGATTTTGATGAAACTTCGCATGGTGATTTACTAGTCTAAGAGAAGTGAGAAGTCTACTACTTCACATTTAACGCTCAACACATTTCATAAGCCTATAATATTTTAAACTGTTCGATGACCATCAATAATAGAAATCTGTTTTCATCAAAACAGAAGAAGTAAACCTAGGTTCTCCTTGTGAGTTAAATTTGTTAATATTAAGTGAGTTATCATTTTTTATGAATTGTCTAACATTATAAATATAGCAAAAATGAAAATAATAAAGATTTGAATTAGTTTAAATTTTAGTGATACTTTGAAACATATAGGAATTTCTAGGTGAGATTTAGGTGAATAAGTAAGAATTTCTCTAATACTGAACTATTTTGATGCACCAATATCATAAAAGGTTTTATAAACTTGAAAGTATACTTAGAATTATAATTTCAAGCAAAAACAGACACTACCACTGATACCAAGGCTGTCCAAGAAAGAAAAAACAGACATCACTATTGCTTGATATCAGATTGACCAACAGAGGACACAGTGAAAATAGATATCACTACTTGTTGTTATCAAGATGTCAAAGGAGGGGCTATACACACTTGAATATATACCTAGATATATATTTTTAAGTAAAAACCGATATCAGTCAGTCAAGGTAGGTCTCAAATTTAAGACCTTGTGATTAACTCTGAATATAAATATCAATCTTTGACTATAGTGTTCTTTAAGATCCATTTATGCTTATACCAAGACTGATATTGCTTGGTATCAGGCTGACCAAGGAAAAACACTTAAAAATATTGCAATATGTATTTTTAAGTGGAAATAGATATAACTACTAGTTGATATCATAAAGTGAAAACAGATATCAAACAGTCCAAAGTAGGTAGAGTAGGGCGGGGCTAGTTGAGCAAATTTTTACTTAAACTGATGTAGCTCCTCAATGAAAAGTCTCAATAAATTGCTATACGGCTTAATGGATTTGTTGTTTATCGCTTAACAAAAGTGTTAATACTATTTTTTGGTAATAAGTAAAATTTAAAAGCTACGTCTGTTTAAATGAAAAAAGTCAAGTATGCTCAATGTACCCCATAGGTGGGGCAAGTTGAGCACTAAGAAAGTATAATGAAATCATAGGTTCAATGTCGATTAGTGATGAAATAAAATAAGTTTTCATAAACCAGTTCTATATTTATAGTCTTTATTGACAGAGAAAACAAAACGTATAGTAATTTTCTTTGAATAATTAACCAAAAGTAGAATCAACAAAACAATATCGTATCTTAGGAATTATTTTATCATTATATTCAGTATTTTTGTTTAAAATCATTATTTCTTTATATTATTGCTCATAGACTTAGCTTAAATCTTAAAAATAATAATTAATTTCTGGAAGTTAATGGTAATTGTCTTAGTGACAGAACAATTTAGCGACTATGCTCAACTAACCCCAACTTGGAATTTCAGAATAAAAGTGAGTTTATAAAAAAACCGTGAGAAATATACCCAGAATCTCTGTGCATATTAAAAGTACTATAATTATATGGAAGAATAACATTTACCTGATTAAAAATAAATAATATTTGACTAAACCAGACGAAAACTCGTGATGAATTACTTTTTTACTTTTTGGTCTCAAAATAAACAAAACGCCCGTGAGCCTCACTCATTTGTCCAGCGGCCACTAGCGATCGCGGGATATTTATTTCTCCCAAATCTCTATCATTCCGCCATATAATGCCTAAACGGACGGTGAATAGTTTTCGAGATATTTCGATTGCTCAACTTGCCCCTATGCTCAACTAGCCCCGCCCTACCCTATCGAACTGAGAAACTTATGATCAACTCTAGGAATAAACATCAAATTTGCACTAATATTTTTCAAGATTGATTTAGTACCTTTCCTCGTGTTGTTTTTATATTGTTGTACAGATACAATTGCTCAATACAGTAATCTACAAACGTATAAATTAACCAGGAAATATATGCATTACAGATCATAACTAGATATTTTGTTACAGTAAACGCCCTACCAAAAATTTATTACCATACCCACTGCCGGCATGGAAACTTTCAAGGTAAAACAAAACCCAAGTACGAGAATTGAGCAATTAAATAACTGATTGACATAAATCTCCTTTCGAACACCATTAACATTGCCTCAATTTATGTTTTGCTGCACAATTATCTCTCACTCAAGCAGATATTACATGTTTAGTTGAAATTAATTATACATTAAATCATATATTACATATTGTTTTGCAAGGAACTACTCATTTATATATTTATAGGGAGATAGAAAAAATAGTATTGTGACGTTGAAGAATGGATTTATTTATAGCAAGAAAGCTAATGGATACTTGTAATTGTAGACCTTTGCCAGGAACATTTAGATTAAACGTATATTTTAGTTTTTGTGGGAGATATGTAGTTGTCCGCTTCAAGGCAACTCCTTAGTTAGATAATTCGATTTTACTCATTTTTGTTCCATTTATTACAGCTTTTTTATATATACCATTTTGCAAATTTGCACTTTAATATTCTGTGACCTATATATTTTCCTTGTATTGTAACTCCTATATCATCCTAAGTCTTCCTTATTTTAGATTTCTACCAGTCCGTTTTACCTTCAATGGCATCATGCAGCAGATAAGTTTTCCCAAAATTGGTCAGATATAGTTTATTGTATCTGATTTACCAATGTTCTCACTTGCTTTTGGTAATATTTTGGTAATACTACATTTGGGGACTATTCAAGAATAACTAATAACTCTTTTTAGCAAAAACATAATCTATCAGGATTATGGAGAGATCTATCATAACTAGAGTTGCTCTGAAGTCCTTGGTTTTTGAAAAATTTGACTATTGATTATGCTTTATAATTGGAATTATATTAAGTGAATTATCAATCAATGAACAATATAAGAAGTAAATCGTTGATCGTGCCAACTTTAGTATAAATAGGTCAGAGGCAGTGGATTTATATTACATTTTGGAAAAAGATTGGTAAAGTATTGGTTCGGAATCGTGTTGATCATGCCAGCTTTGGTACAGATAGATCAGCCAGTGGATGTATGTTACATTTTGGCAAAAGATTGACAAAATATTGCTTTGGAATCGTGCTGATCGTGCCAACTTTGGTAAAGAAAGGTCAAGCAGTGGATTTATGTTAAATTTTGGTAAAAGATTGGAAAAGTATTGCTTCGGAATCGTGTTGATCGTGCCAACTTTGGCAAAGAAAGGTCAGGCAGTGAATTATTGTTACATTTTGATAGAAGATTGAAAAAAGTATTGGTTCGAAATCGTGCTGATCGTGCCAACTTTGGTAAAGATAGGTCAGACAGTTTCTTCGTGCTTCATTATTAAAAATTTTCATTGACGATTTAGATAAAACTTTTTAACATGATAAGGACCATGATCTTAACGGACATCCTTAAATATTATTGACCCAAAATCAATAGTTTAATTATAAAAATTCGTTAAACAATAAAGTCATTACATATGAAATTAATTAAATCGATTATTTACAATTTATTTTTAGAAACCAGGACTTTTTCATTGTTTTTATAAAGCTTTTGTGATGTATTTCCATACAAGCTAGGATCATTAAAAGGCAACCCAGTGGTTGTTCCTTGACTTTGTGATCATATTATTATATATTTTGTAATTGTGATGTCATAAATATTGCAACACTGGCCTTGGATTTTATTTTCTCTCAAAATCTTATATAAATTGATATTTTCAAGTTGAAACTGAAATCCATTATTGATATAGGTTGAGGTTCTAAGACCAATGCTATTTCCACCAAACTTTGTTTATTAGCAGTGATTTTTTCAAATAAATCTAATCCTGTATTATTATTCAGGTTAATATAAGCAGATACTATGCAGTAAATTAAAATTTACAACAATATGTAATAATGCTTTACCATTGTATAATAGTCTATTTCTATTAGATTTTGCTTGGGCTAGTTGGACTCGTTCGAGTCGTTTTCCTCGGTTCATTATTTTTTATTATTGTTTTTGCGTAATAATAATATATCGATCGTAATATCGATATGCATGTTAGTTTCTTTGTATGCGCTTACGGAACGGAATTGGACATTCGGATTTGATAATACCATATAATACCTACGTTGTGCACATGACGGTAAAACAATCTAAAGGCGCCGGCACACCGGGCATTAAGTACGTTTTTTTAGATTTTATATTTTAGATTCTAAACTTTGCATGAGGAACAGATAATCAAAGGTTAATAAGTTCTTGGAGAACTGCTTTTACTAGAAATTTTTAGTTGAATTATCACACTACTGCATGATATCAGGTCATCTAGAGCAGAGGTTCGAACTGTGGACCCTGTCCACAGAAGGCAGTGTGGTTATTAATCAGCAAAAAATACATAAAATTAACCTTTTTTGACCTAATAAAATTCTATCTTTCACAAACGATGCAACACAGTCAGACAACACCGATTTAAGTCCTTAATATCAAAGTGTCTTATTACAAAACCGATAGCACCTATTACCCATAAAATCAATTTCATCTGCATTTAAATAATCTCTTAGAAGTGATATATATGCAAGTGAATAATAAACAAATCTAAATACAAAACAATCGCACTGTGTGAACGAGCAAACAAAACAGTCTCTCCAGTCTCGACCGTCTCGACCTGATCGTAGTGATCTCTGACCCTTTTATTAGCCCGTGGTGGATTTGTACCAGTACTCGAAGTTCGTGATTCAAATGTTGCAGTGCAATAGACGAGGAAAAGATGGAGAGCTTGTGGTAAGTTTGCTAAATCACTTTGTTAATAAAATTAGATAATTATTAACGGCCGGACACCGTAGATATACATTTTACCATTTCGACCTCCCAGGATGGTCAACGTAGATTTTCGCTTTGCCATGAATTTTTGGTAAGTTGCATTAAGGATTTTTCATCCACACTTATTTTCTGTTGATAATATTATCTGTTTATTGTTATTAGAAGAAATATAATTGATTTAATAAAATGTTGTTGTAGTTACAATGCTTTAGATCCGCGTTTGGTTCAATTCACCTGGAAACCCTGCCCAAAAACTAAGTTAGGCAGGACAAATTTGACCTGTCTGTTGAGTTTTGAGAAAGCGCACTTAACTATTATGGTCCTATGGATGATTTCAAGAAAGTTTTCTAAACAAACTATGCTGGGAACTGTATTTCAAGCCAGCGAGATTTTCACTAAAAAATTCGAACATTAACTATAACTATTAGGTATTACCTAATTATCATTTTATTAATAACTCAAATATGAAGAATTTAAAATTGTAAAATGTTTATTAAGAGCTGTAACAAAAATTCCAAAAAAAATATTTTAAGAGGCAAAATGAAGATTAGGTTTTCAAAAAGCAACTTATTGTGATAATCAATAATTTTGAATTCATGGACTAAAGATTACAAAATCAAGTATATTTTAATATATGTTAACAAATAATTTATATATAAGAATACGAATATAAAAATAAATTTGAAAAAACTATCAAAAATATTATGTTGTACTATGCATAAACTAAACCCTTAGAACGCACTTTCCAACTTGTGGAGCGCTTATTCAAGGTGGCCCCCCGGCTTTTCCAAAATAAACCAACAATTTTAAAATAATATAAAAAAATTAAGGAGGGCAAACAATTTTTCTTATTAGAGCGTAGGAGGAGGGGGAATGCAAAAAAGTTCGAAAGCACTACCCTAAGAAATTGTATTTACTACCTTTACCAAATCTGAGGAAAATTCTTCCTCGATATATTTCCAGACTGTTAGTCTAATAATCACGTTCCCCGACGACAATACATTGACGATAAAGAATGAATTATTGCATACAAATCCATAAAATCGATTCAGGCGCTGTGAATGATCACAACATTATAAAATAATGGTAATACTATAGAATACTAGAATATTAAAGACAGTATTGAATATTGATCAACTATATCTGTCACAATAACCACGATATTTACTATTATACGTGAATATGGAATAGATACTGGTTAAAGGTCATAAATCATATTTGCAATATGATAAAAAATATTTGTTCCTTAAATATTTGATCATACTATATTATGACTAGAGTTTTAAATAACAAAAAATATCAAAAACTCTTGGTGCTGTTTTCTTGTGGGATCTGACTAATATCTGACCAATAAATCAAAATAAAAACTGAAGTGAAAAAATTAGGCAGAAACTTGAAAATACCGATACTGAGGAAATAGCATTTTATGGATTATTTAAATGTGTTAACGTAAATAGCTTGGCATATGAATAGAATAACAAAAGAATGATGTATGCGAAATAGAGGTAAATATTGTAGAGAGTGTAATTAGAGACAATAAACGAGTAATTAGAAATGAGATGTGTTAATAGAGACAAACGAAGTTAACAAATGATTTGATGTATTTATTTTGGAAATCTTATGTAAATGTCCAAAGTATTTTTTATCTCCAGTATTTCTGATTTTTTTTTTGCCATTGTTCGAATCAAACCTAAACCACATCAAGCTCTAGCCAACCACAATAGGACTTTTATATAATTTAGTCAAAAATATCTAGGATAATCCAATCAATATCTATTTTGCAGCTTCCTTGATCTACAATACATCACCAATGCCTTCAATCACTCTATTTCCATTAGAAATGTTCCTAGCCTGAGTCAAGTCCGCAGTATTATAAATTTTACAATGCCCATGCAATTTTAATTATAATAATTAATTTGAAATCAGAACGGTAATGGTCTTACAATCGTTTTGTAGTTGTAATTTACACTCGCCGACAAAATATTACCATGTGTTGTTTATGTATAACAAGACACTCAATGTAATAAAATACAATTACTTCGTTACTTTGATCAAAATGGTTTGAGGCGTTTGTAGATGGACTAATTGTAGGACAAAAATTATGTCTAGGCATTTAAATGAAATACTAATATTTCAAAATTTATTCTAATTATGTATCGATTAAGAAAGTTCCTTTGATTTTAATTATTGCTAATATTTAACCAGACAACCAAGAATAAATAACAGGAACAAGAAGCTGTTAGCTCATTAACATCTATATCCTTTCAAGGATCCAGGGTAATAATTTTAGTAAAAATTTATAACAAACAAAGTGATCCATCTGAATACAAGAAACACTTATTATTAAAATAAATCGATCAAAAAAATTATTTTTGATTTATGTTGATGTTAATATAGGGCGCTGACTCAATGCAATATTGGAAACTTGTTCGGACAAACATACACCCTTCTCCCTTTGGACCCTATGTCAAAATCAGTATAGTTTTTACCTGTTATGACGATTGTCACCACTGTACCCAGTCTTCCCTACTAGCTTTAATAATAATTTTGACTATTAGTTAGCTAGTTTTAGGTTATTAAATTGAGTATCTATGTCAGGTATGTATATTTGTCCTTATTAATATTCAAAATGCATTCGGTTTATTAATTACCAAAGGATATAATGAGTTAAAGACGCAATTAAAATTACAAAATTGTAATAAACGTTGGCCGTTATTTCTTGTTGCAATAAACTTGCGTAAATTTAATTTGTAAGTGAAATTATAATAGCAACTATTGCGAAAATATATGATTCATTTTTCAAATAAAAATATAAC